GGGTTTCAATTGTACAATGATCAAGTACCCATCCCTCCATTCTCCATCACCACTGATCCCAGTGTCCCTCCCACCTCCCATACCCCCCACCCCACCCTGCCTCTGTGGCAGGGCATTCCCTTTTGTTCTCTCTCTCCTTTTGGGTGCTGTGGTTTGCAAAAGAGGCATTGAGTGGCCATCATGTTCGGGCTATAATCTACTTCCAGCATGCATCTCCCATCCTGGGAGGATCCTCACAACATTCTTTACTTGGTGCTCCCTTCTCTATCTGAGCTCCCTTTTCCCCTAGCATGTGCAGCTGGCCTTCAAACCATGGAGTGAACCTTCTGGTACTTATCTCTGCTATTCTTGGGTGTTAGTCTCCTATTTTGTTACTTTATGTTCCCCAGATGAATGCAGTCTTTCTGTGTCTGTCCCTCTCTTTCTGACTCGTCTCGCTTAGCATGACACATTCCATGTAGTTCCACTTGTATGTAAATTTCATGACTTCAGCTTTTCTAACAGCTACATAGTACTTCATTGTGTAGATGTACCAAACGATTCTCAAAAAATTAGAAATTGAGCTCCCATTTGACCCAACAATACCACTCCTGAGAATATACCCCAGAGAGGCAAAAAAGTGTAGTCGACATGACATCTGCACTTCTTTGTTCATTGCAGCACTGTTTACTATATCCAGAATATGGAAAAAACCTAGTGGCAGAGAACAGATGACTGGTTAAAGAAACTCTTCTTTGTATCTGAAGTCGTTTTAGTTTTATCTATGAATAAATGGATTGGGGATTCAGAGATAGATGTAGGGTTTAAGATTATTGTCTTACATACATCTGACCCTGGTTTGATCCTCATACTACATATGGTTTCCTAAGCACTGCCCGGAATGAGCTCTGAGCACAGCTGAGAGTGACTCCAATAGTGGATCAGTAAGAAGGAAGTAATATGAAGGCTAACATATTTCTTTAAAACATATACATATAACTGAAACAAAAAGTTTTATTTTGGAGTATATTCCAAAATACATTCTAGTATGCTGTGTGTCACTTTTGGCAGTGATCAGAGGTTTTGTGGTGCTAGGTATCCAAATATCCAATATTCAGTCACCCTTGTGCAAGATGAGTGCCTTGCCTCTATATTGTATTTCCTTCCCCATTACAGTAACTTTTGTATTATGGGACCAAACCCAGTAGTGCTCAGTGGTTACTCCTAATTGTATAATCAGGAATTTTGATTTGGTAACCATATAGAATACTGGGAAATTGAACCTGGGTTGGCCATGCACAAGGCAAACACACTACTGCTGTATTATTGCTCTGGCCCCCAGTATTATATTATTTTAATGGGCTTAAATGATCATTTATATTTTACATAATGGAATAAAGGTAAGGTAAAGGTAAAGGCCCTCCCGTTGATCGTCGATTTGCTCGAGCGGGCCCAGTAATGTCTCCATTGGAGACTTTGTTGTTACTGTGTCTGGCATATCGAATACTCTCGGTAGCTTGCCGGGCTCTCCGAGAGGGGCGGAGGAATCGAACTCGGGTCGGCCATGTTGGCCGCTTGTAAGGCGAACGCCCTACCCGCTGTGCTATAGCTCCACCCACAGCCCTACCCGCTGTGCTATCGCTCCACCCACAGCACAGCGGGTAGGGCATTCGCCTTACAAGCGGCCAACATGGCCGACCCGAGTTCGATTCCTCCGCCCCTCTCGGAGAGCCCGGCAAGCTACCGAGAGTATTCGATATGCCAGACACAGTAACAACAAAGTCTCCAATGGAGACGTTACTGGGCCCGCTCGAGCAAATCGACGATCAACGGGAGGGCCTTTACCTTTACCTATAATGGAATAAATTTTGTAAAATAAATTATTTTCAAATGTCTAAGATTTATATGATATAGTAGGTATTTTGCATATTAAATTTTACTTGTTTTACTACATAATAATTATTTTCTTAAAATTTAAGTTAGAGTATAACTGCAAACTACTTTTTTCTTATAATAAAGTAAGTTGCTGCTAACCAATTTTGTGTTTATTCTAGTACTTATAATCAACTCTTATGTTTTCTCTTATAAGTATAAATCACATTCCAAAATAAGTGAATGAGCAAATTTGTGATGAAATGTTTATCTTTTGCTTTATAAATGGTAGACAGCATCATTTAAATTTGGTTTAGTGATATTCACCTGGATATTCTGAGATTTTCTTTTATTTAAATGGTTACGGTCATGGTCCTCCCATTGTTCATCGATTTGCTAGAGCGGGCCCAGTAACATCTCCATCGTGAGACTTGTTACTGTGTTTGGCATGTCGAATATATCACGGGTAGCTTGCCAGGCTTAAAATACATAGCACAATGCATTTGCCTTTTATTTGTAGTAAATTGAAAAAGAATGATGAAATTTAAACTGATGTTTAGTTCATTAATACTTGCATTTAAAAACATGCTTTGTAGGATTTATTTATTGGTATCCATTACTAATAATGGGCTGGAGCGATATAGCAGGTAGGGCATTTGCCTTGCACGTGGCATTCTCAAGTTTGATTCCTCCGCCCCTCTCAGAGAGCCCGGCAAGCTACCGAGGTTATCCTGTTCACACAGCAGAGTCTGGCAAGATTCCTGTGGCATATTTGATATGCCAAAAACAGTAACAACAAGTCTCACAATGGAAATGTTACTGGTGTCCAGTCGAGCAAATCTATGAACAATGGGAGGACAGTGACAGTGACAGTGACAGTGATTACTCATAATATATTGCTCTGTTTTGGTAGCTTTTAAATTAGCTTTATGAATTGCTACATCCAGTGATTCAGTTCTTCCTCCTGGACCCCAGAAATGCACAAATCTGTTCAATAGCATATCCTGTACCTAAGTATCACACTGGACTTTCCATCCTCTTCTAGATTCATCTTGATGATATAGACTCTCCCTTTGAGCTTAGTTTCATGAATTTGTTGCCATTTCCTCATTTCATGTTTAAAAATTTAAAGAATTTATTTTAGGTCTGGGGCCTGCAGCCAGTGATGCTCAGGGCTTACTTCTGGTTCATGCTCAGGGATTACTCCTGGTAGTGCTTGGGAGACTATATATGCGTGCAGGGGTGTGAACCAGGGTCAGCTCTGTGCAAGATAAGACCTTATCACTGTACCATCTCCTGGCCTCCACTTCCTCATTTTATACTCTGTTATTCCTACTTTAATCTCCAGTAACTTTCCATTGCAAAGTTAAATAATTTATCTTTAGAACTTCTAATATTCCTTGTAATATTTGTCACTGCTCCTCAGTTCCTTCTGGGAACTCTTGTTCTACTTAGTCTGCCAGCCACTGCTTTCATATCCACCCTTTATTTTATTGCCCTTTCTTAGTCTTTATTTAGTAACACCCTTTCTTAATCTTGAAACAGTTTTAGAAGTTTTTTTTCTTTAAATTAATTCCCTTAGATAACCTCATTCAGCCCTGTGATTTTAAATAGTAGACATTTACTTTGATTCCAAATTTAAACTCCCTACACTGACCATTTCTTCTATTTCTGAACAGTCTCTTCACTTCAGTGTCACTGGACAGATTGCATTTAATTTGAATTAAAAACATTCCTTACCTCCTAAAACCACCAAGCTCCTGTGACCTTTGTGGTCATCTTAGTACACGGTTATCAGTGGAAAATTTTGGAGTTATTCCTGGTCTTTTCCATAACATTAAATAGCTGATCTATAGAGAATCTTATCGCTTCCACTTTAATAACATGTCCTAAAGGAATTTAAACATCATAATATCTACTGCTGCTATGATATTCAAGCGACAAGTCTTTCTTATGCACAGTTTCAGCCCCTGCTGTAGCACTGTCCTCCCATTGTTCATTGATTTGCTTGAGCAGGCCCAGCAGTGTCTCCGTTGTGAGACTTGTTGTTACTGTGTTTGGCATATTGAATACATCACGGGTAGCTTGCCAGGCTCTGCCGTGTGGGCGGGTTACTCTCCGTAGCTTGCTGGGCTCTCTGAGAGGGGCGGGGAATCGAACCTGGGTCGCCCGGGCTGGCCACGTGGAAGGCAAACGCCCTTCCACTGTGCTATGGCTCAGCCCCTTCTAAATAGTCTTTTTTAAGTCTTTCTCATCCAACTCTAGCTACGTTAGAGTAATTTCTTCAAACAGACCATAACTCAGACCATAACTGACCATAACACATAAAACAGACCATAACTGAGTTATGAAAACATAACTCAGATGTCTGCCAGTTTTCTCTCACTACCTTCTAGTAGCTTCAGTTAGATTTAGGGTAACTTTACTTTTCCTTCTGGCATGCTTTTATTTGCCTGTGTTTTGGTAGCTTTTAAATTAGCTTTAAAAGCTAATACATGAGCAACCTTTTGCTAGTTTTTCCCTTGCTGATTCAATTGGCTCAAGTCTACATGTATCAGCCATACACCTTTTTGTTCTTTAGCATGTAGAAAATGTTTTTGTCTAACACACCTTGAGTGCAGTTTTCCATCAGGTCAGAATGTCTTCTTCCAGATAATCACATAGTTCAGTCTCTCTCTCTCTCTCATTTCTTTCAGATCTCTGTTCATTCAAACATTTTTAACCATTATATATTAAATAACACTACTGTCCTGTAATTTTACACTTCCAACTCATTATTCTCTTATTTACCATTATTTTACTTCATAGGGCGTTTTAAAATTAATCTTTATATATAAACTTTAAACAGTTTAGAATCTTGAACTGTTTTATTTACTTCAACTGGAGATATTAAAAATTATATTTTATATACCAAATGCATGATATTAGAATCTAATAATTTGTTGATGTTTTGTTTTAAAAATACATCATTAGTGTTGTCATTTTAGTATGTTGCCACCATATTGCAATATCAGTATACTAACATCATTTATGACAACTTTTTGTGTGTGTGTGTCCCTCCCCCCAATGACAACTTTTTGAGTTGTATATCAATTATATAAATTTTGTAAAGTAAAAACATTAAGACTTTTATTTGATTTTTATCCTAGGTATGAGAATATTCAAAAAGGAATAACTGATGCCAGAGTTTCTGGGAATGTCCCAGATGTTTATACCCAGAATATGCTTTTAGAAAATGAGAACAGAATTTTGAAGAAGGACTTGAAGCATTTCAAACAGGCAGCTGAGTATGTTTTTAAAAATGACTTTTTTTAAAAAAAAATTGGTTTTTTTTTTTATAAAAATTGAATGAGGGTAATATATTATAATTGATAGTGATGTACCAGAGATTTTATTCTGGAGAAATAAAATATGTAAATTCTAGTTGGAAATAAATGAATGTCTTCAGTAGAAAATAATTGAATTCTGAAAATTGTAATTCACCAACAAGAGTGAGTTGGAGAGGGTTGTGTAGGAAACAGTTAATTTGTTATATAATATTCACTTCCTTTTTTCTTCTGATATTTTCTGTGGTTTACAAAATCTTCCCTGGTGAGAATAAGCTAACTTCTGGGAAAAAATTAATAATAGAAAGCAGAGAGAAAGGAGGAGTGCAATCCTCATAGAAGAATTTTAGTACTTGAAAATTCCCCAAAGAGAATTTATTTGATAGTTTTCCTATGCAGGAATTTATGCATAGATAAGAAGCAGCAGTTAGAAGCCAAATATCTCTGCTTTTTAAAAATTGTTTATTAAATTTATAAAAGACTTGAGTTTTCGGTGAACAAGTTTTAATGACTATTATTATTCTGACAGAGACAAATATGTTGACTTGAGTTAAATCTACTATTTTAAGATAAGATTGGATAGAAAAATCAATGCTTAGATATTGAGCAGAGACAGTTTTTGCATTGTTAATTAATTTTTATTGTACATATTAAACAGGAATTTATCCTAAATTGCCATTTTAAAACCAAAGTTAATTATATTAACAGAGCTGCCATCAGTAATTATACTTTAAGAATAGAGAACAAAACAATGGCAGTAATGAGGCTAAAAGTAAATACTTTTCAAATATGTATTACTGTTTATTCAGTTGTGTGAGTTCCAAAGTTATCCAACACAGTTGTAATATCTACTTATGGATATATTTTTACAAGTAAAAGCAAATATCATATTACCTTGTCATGTAATATTCGGTATTTTATATTTTGAATAGATGTGTATGTTGTTCTCTGGAATGACATGTTACTAGAAACCAGACTGTATTTTCAGTTCCCATTCTCAGAAGTGCTTTGCACTATTGCCCTTGACACTCACTGCGATTTTTGTATAGATAGTTAATGGATGCTCTGGGAACTTGACACAGCAAATTTTTTCAGAGTGCTGTCTGGCATATTGTTTCAGTTCCTTATCTCTTTTGAATTATTGCTTTAGTTTGCAAATTTTCTTTTGTATAGAAACTCATTGTATGAGTCTATGTCTGTTGAGTGGTGCCCTAGTGACATTAATAACCATTGCTGATTTGTGGTTGTTTATTGACTATTATGTTTAATAACCACGCATTAAGCCACATATTACCCTTGAACTTTATTAACTTAATGTTAAAAGAAAACATGATGAACACAGATAACATCCAAATGAAACCTGACTATTTGCTAAAGTACCAGATTACTGACTGCTTATAAAAATTGCTATACTTACTAAAATAGTTTTGTTTCAGTGGCTCATATTTCTCAACTGTATCTATTTGACGTAATTTAAAACTTAAAAATTAGAAAATCATGACTGTAACAGGCAAGAAGGGTGCTTACTTTACATTCTATAGCTGCCCCAGGTTTGATTCCTGGCACCAAATATGATTCCCTTAAAACCCACAAGGAGTGAGTCTGGGTGTAGACTCCTGGGCACAAGTGGGTGTGTCCCCCAAACAGACAAACAAACAAATAACCCCCTAATCAAAACAAAGCCAAAGAAAAGTCAAAAGTATTTTATTGGTTTTAGTATAACTGGCAGACATATTTGGGAATTCTGCTTGACTCATTGCAGATACCTAATATGTAGTTCATTGATAGAATATTTAGCACATATGTTTTCAGGGCACCTTTCATTTAGGTGTGTACTAGCTACATGCCTAATTCTACTGGATATATTTTCAGAAAATGAAGAATAATATATTTTCTAAGAAAGTCTCCAAAATATATCTGTTCTACTGAAAGTTTGCTCCAAATTATGTTTCATTATATAGATATTAGTTTGCCTTTTGGAGCTATTTTTTTTCCTAATAAAAATTAGCAATAGACACAGGATTGCTCTAATAAATTTAACCTAAAGTTTTCATTTTAAAAGTTAAGGGCATTTCTTAAAGCATGATAACTATTGACATTTAATATTTTTCTAATAATTTATATTTAAATTTTATTAATTTATATACTTATTTATTGTATTATCAAGGATCAAATGTAGGTCTCCTGAATTTAAAGCATCACATTGTTGCTGAGTCACATCTACAATCCAATATTTAAATTCTAAGGGAGCCCGTTTATAGATCTGTTATATTTTGCCCTTGGTAATCCTTTAATGAGGTATCTAGATAAATCAGAAAAATAGCTCTCTGAGTATGGGGTATGAAAGTTGTCGTGGAAAGAATATTGAATGTAGAGTTCAGAGATATAGCTTTCAATATTTTGCTACTTATTAATTCAGTTGTCTTATTGTTAAACTGTGTATAAAAATTATACATATTATTACTAACTCCTAGGGAATGATGTGATAATTAAATGGGACAATCTGTATTAAAGAGGTGTGCAATCACAAAGTGCTTTAAAAATGTCACATATTATTACTAATATCTCTATAGGCTGTCATCCCTAGATTTTTTAATCATCACATCATTAATATTTTTTAAATTCAGCAATGATAAAGCACAAAGGCAGAGATGAAAGAGAAAAATATTTCACTCTAAAATATCATTAGCATTGCTATAATTGAAGCAAGAAATTAACATTTTCTCATAACCATTTTTAATTTTTGGACAGAGATTTTCCCTGTTTTCTATAAATATAGAATTTTTTAAATCATTAGACAATTTCCACTGTTTTTCAGGGTTTAAAATCTGTCTGATTTTCATGATTATTTTAAATGAAAATTTATGTTTAAATATTAGATTGCAGAGAAGATCGATGTAACAAATAGGAATTTGTGTCCAGTTTTGTCATAGGAAAAAACATAGTTTCTACTGAAATATAGATAAATTGATATTTTAATTATAGAGGTCTCTTATTTAAGAGGATTCCTCTGATTAACAGACTTGTTAAAGACTAGGAAACATCTCTTAAAGTTGGAATATTTTTTGCAGTTAATACTACTTCATAAGCCATTTATTTGGTGGCTGATATGACAGAATGTTCACCTTATCTGATGTTAAAAATAAATATTTTTAAATTAGGAACATGTTTATTAATTTTTTCTCTCTTCAGTAGCAATCTATCTTTTTTATGTCATCGACTTTGCAGCTATTCTCAGTTGCATTGCTTTCTCCTTAAAAGACCATTGTAATTATACTTTAATATCTTGTAGTCTGGCTGTCATACTATCTATCCAATATAAAGTATTTTATCTTATTTTTTTATTTCTCTTTCCTCCAAAGAACTGAAAATGTTATCTTTTGCCTTTATGTCTGTCTCATTGACAGGTTTCTTTTTTTCTGTTTTTACTCTATTTACATTGTGTGAGGCTGTGCTATCCAAAAAGATAGCTACCAGGACGATTCACTAATGTAGAGTACTGACAAATATAAAATGTTGATAATGTAATATTAATATTTTTGTACCAATAAAATATAATATGATTTCTATGATAAAATTACACAGTTAAATAGGAAAGATATAAATTGGAAGCTCATAAATTTGAGTAAGGCAAGTCTTTAGAAATATATGAAGAAACTGAATAAAAAAGTAAGATCAAATTCATATATAAAATTGGGAAAAGGAAGTTCCAAGCAAGGGAAATGGGGGAATAGAACTCTTAGTGGGGAGAAATAAACTTGTTAGTGGCTAGCAAGGAGATTAAGATGACTGAAATTAGGATGCAACTTATTGAAGCCCTTTTAAGAACTTTATATTTTCCCTTTGAATTGGATATAGGTTAAATTGGTGCGGACAGAACTGGGCAGCTACATAACATGTATCTGAAAGAAAGTCTAGCTCTGGGTAAAGTATTTGTTGTGAGGCCTATATTTCATTAAGTATTTTAACTATATCCCACCATTGACCTGTGTCCAAAGGGCTTCATTTGATAGGCCTGCTCTAATTCTAAGGGTTGTTCCTTTGTATATAATTGTTCTGTCTTGCTGCTTTCAGTATTGTATTTCTATGTATGGGTTTTTGTCATACTGATTAGGATATTATGTCTTGGAGTCTCATTTAGCTGGTACTCTTTGGGCTTCTTGGATCTGGGTGTCTGTGTTCTCCAGCTCCAGAAACTTTTCAGCAGTGATGTCTTTGACTGTGCTTCCTCAATGGGGTTGACTTCCTCTGGGACTCAGATGAATCTTATATTGATCTCTTTTGATTTTATCCCGTAGTTCTCTTATCTGCCCTAGGATTATTTTGAAGTCTTTTTCTTCTTTGCTGTTGCCTGGAGGTTTTTTACATCTATCTTCAAGCTTACTAATTCTGTCTTCAGCTAGTATTACTCTACTGTTGAAGGTTCCCATGGAGTTTTTCATTTCAGGTACTGAATATTTTGTTAATTTCTAGTTTTTTCTTTTGGGGGGTCACACCTGGCGATACTCTGGGGTTACTCCTGGCTCTGCACTCAGGAATTACTACTAGAAGTGCTCAGAGGGATATGGGATAACAGAGATCAAATTCAGGTCAGCAACATGCAAGGCAAACACCCTACCCACTGTACTATTGCTCCGGCCTCTGCTACTAGTTTTCTTATTTCTGCTCTCATTTCCTCCTGTATTTTATTGACTATCCATTCCACTGTTTCTCTTATATCTTCCTGTATTTAAGTGGATGTCTGTTCCACAGTTTCTTGAGGCCGATTAAACATCCTCACCATTTGTCTCTGAATTCTTGATCAGAGAGATTATGTATGTGAGTATTCCTTGTTGAGGCTTCAGGACTTTGCCTTCATCCACTCCTCATGGTGGTGTTCTGTGCTCTTTACCCATGGTGCCTGTGGTGGCCTAGAGGTGATTCTTTCCAAAAAACTCTCAGCATCCCTCCCTCACTGCCAG